TAAGAAAAAAAGAATAATATGCATACCCAGAACTATTCTCAACCGAATGTCTCTTTTCTGAGGTAATGGGAGACTCGGGATTTGTGTCTTTAATGCAGATATTAGTACAGGACGCTTTCACTGGACAATTCTCACATGCAAGGGCTAGCTCCTCTTCATTACTGGTTCCAAAAAGATCAGGGTCATCCTGAATCACATCAATGACAAGAATATCTTGCTTGTAAGCTTCAAGAATATCTGGTGAATTTTGACTTTCATGTTGTGAAAGAATCTCTTGTGATTTGCTATCGTCATTTATTTGCAATCCAACAGGGCGGTCAACTGAATTCCAAGAATGATCAGGAAAACTAGGTTTCAGCACACATTCAGAACCGGAGAAATCAGGCACAGATGACTCTGGTTGTCCATCAAGAAGAGGATGTCGATATGCAGAAAAATTTTTGGGGAGCACAAATATCCCATTTGAGAAGTTTTCAGAGCCATTGTGCTGAAAGTCCTTACTATCAATCTCATATGCTGTTTTCTTTACAGAGGCTGCAGATGTAGCATCACTCATGACAGGAAAAGGGTGCTGCTCATAATTTACCACCACAGTCTCTTCACCTGTCTTCTGTCTTGAAACACCAGTGCTTTCAAGCTCTAGTGGACTACAGGTTTTTCTTTCAAATGAATGGACGGATTTCAATTTCCTGGATTCAGGTCTGTTTCTACATAAAGGAATTCTGAATTTTGTCAGGTTTTCAGGGTTTAACCCTTTAATTAGCTGTAAATCAGAAAATGTCTGGTTCACTAGTGACACTTTAGAGCTAAAGTTTATTCTATTTGTGTTACCTGTAGATGTACCTTTCTGGACTGTCAGAGACAGGTTTCTTTTTGTTACATCTTCTTCATTTCTATCTTTTTGTTTTGTTGTACCCTTCTGGACTGTCATAGACAGGTTTTCAGTTGTTACATCTCCTTCACTTTTGTTTTTTTGTTTTGTTATACCCTTCTTGACTGTCACAGACAGGTTTTCAGTTGTTACATCTCCTTCACTTTTATTTTTTTGTTTTGTTATACCCTTCTTGACTGTCACAGACAAGTTTCTGTTTGTTACATCTCTGTCATTTTTACCTTTTCGTTTGGTTGTAAAATTCCAGGTTCCTTTAACTTCTTGCACATCATCATGGTTAAAAGCCAAACAACTTCTATCTACATTAACTGATGATTCCCCATTTTCATTACTCATTCTCGAAGTCTTGTAAATATCTACAGAAGAGGATTCTGGTGTTTCAAGTGAAGTCTGACATTCAGTATTTGGATCAATTCTTTTATGTGCAGATTCTTTTGTAGTTTCTGCCAATGACACAGGCAAATCCAACTGTCTCAAACTCCCAGTCACAGCACTACCTCCTACAGCTTTAACACTGCTTTTATCAGAGAAATCCTCAAAGGCAGCTTTTAAAAGTCTTTTTCCTTCTGAGATGGACCCATGATTTTTATAAACCCATTCAGAAGTCCTGGCACAAGATTCAACAGGCCAAACTTTTTTACCAGTCATGGGTACTGCTCTTTGACAGGTAAACTGCTGAAATTCCTTATTCACATTGTTCAATTTTCCCCCTGTCTTGCTTTTGTGACAGTCACAAGTATCATGGACCTGAGCTAGCGCTCTCAGGGTACCTGAGGCAGCTGACTGATGTGCCACAAGGCTTGAATTTTCTCCTTTCACTATTACAGAGAGCTCAGATCTCTTCTTAACGGCATTTTCAAATGCAGGTACTTTGGTACTCTTCATTCTCCAGGCTGATATATTTTGTGCTTCATGAGTATTTTTTCCCATATGAAGATTTAATTCATGATCACGTGAATCTGACAGAGTATGATTTAGCCCTGAAACTGCAAAGGAGCTTGATATTGCAACTGCTGCCTCTGCTTGTAACTCACACTTACTGCATTCATTAGCCATGCCTGTGAAAGTATCCTGCACTTCTAATTTCTCTGTGATTTTCATCTTTTTTCTAGGCTTCCTACCAATATTCCACTTTTTTTCCCTTAAACACTTATTGCTTTCACTCAGACAACACGAAAGACGGCCTTCTCCATTTTCATTTTTTTCTTCATTAGACGATAAACCACCTTTTACGGGTGATATCTCATTTAGCATTCTACTATTGCTGCAAATTGTATCACTCACTTCTACAGTACCATGGGCTACATGGAAGAATCCATTTAATTTATAACTGCTGGTAGTTCCACTAGTTGAAAGCTTCACTAATGTATTGATGTAACTACAGTCTTCTAATCTCACATATGGATTCTTTTCTGTTGCACAGAGCAAGCCACTACAATGTTTAAGGGCATTTCTGCAATGTTCAGCATCACATTTTACAGATGTGTTCACTTTTTCAGCTGCAGTCAAACTTTGCAAGTGCTTGATTTGACCATTTCTGGGTTTTCTTTTCTTAGGCTGACTTACTTTACACTGCACACCAGACTTTTTTGTTACACCATGGCATAGAAAGCTCTTGCTTTGAGTCCCACCTAAAACAGCAACCATAGGAGATTTAGAGTAGTGAGATTCCATTTCCTTAGAATCTTCTGGTCTGTTTTGCTCTGCGTTTACATTCTTTACAGCCCATGAAGTACCGGAATCTTGCTCAATTGCTTTCAACTGCTCCTCTGCTGATTAAAAAAAGCACAGAAAACAGTAAAAGACTACCCTATTGCAATATTTTAGGAAAAGAACAACAAAAAAACCAAACCCCCAACATTCAAGGCTACTAAGAACATGACACTGGATGAGGCAAAGATATTTCTGTAAAGTTTTACCATTTTTTTTAAATGAACGCTACCAGCAGACTTAAAGTCTTATTTTAAGAAACAAATGCAAAGATTAACAAAACCTTAAGGCATCATAAGGACATTGCGAGTTGTAAATTTGTTATACATTCCACAGAGGTGGAAACCAAACTAGAGCAAGTCTGGCATGAAAATGCAGATGCTGTTTGCACACTCAGCCTTAAAATCTTTTGTTTACACAGCAGATTCTCTGTAACAGGAAAGCTTATTCAGAAGAATATATTTCAGATACAGAGTCCAACCAAATGCATTAGACTGAACAAGATCCAGCAAAACTACAGGACTTCCATTTTTATAGACTACTACTTTTTACTTCAAATACAGATTATGCAAAAAACAGTACATCTGAAAATTTAGACTAGAAAATGTACTCAAGAACACGCTAGTAGGTTTTTTTAGATCTTAGGTTTCAAAGATACAATTCTGGTCTCGGTTTTTCAGAATATGGTTTCTAGATAAAACATTTATTAATAATCTACAGTAAATATTTGTCATTTGAATGTACCCACATTGAAAGTAAGAAGAATGTCTTTTAGACAATCATTGTGAAAAATAAAGAAACTTTTAAAAATCCCCCTTCAAAATTGTTCCAGTTTGATATAACAGTCACTTAAAACGTGAAAATACAATCATTGTTTCTACATCTTTTAGGATTTTAGAGAATAGCAATTAAAAAGCAAAAAGTTTTGGAAAAAAACTCCAGCATCCTGTAAAGGCAGGCACTGAAACAAGACAGCATGATACACATTCAAAAATAAATGGACAATATACAGATGAATGAAGAACTGACTTATTTTGGCTTTGCTGAAACTACTGCCTCCTTTCCTGCTTGTGCCTGACCTTCTCTGAAGGAATGGGCAGACTGCTTTTAAGAGAAGCAAATTCCAGTACTCCTTACCCAGGGCCTGTTGCTGCCAATACTCCTTCTCTCTCCCCCTCACCCTTTCTCCCTCCTGATAACCCCCCAAAAGGTAACTGGTCTCCTCTCCTTTATGTTAAAGGCTGCTTCTCCTTCAAGAAAAGCCTTTCCTCTTTCTAAAAATCTGTTTTCTTCCAAGACTTCCATTTACAGTACTTTAAAGCACACTCCAGCTCTTACCTCTACACTTCTTGAACTAAGTTAACAGCCAGTTTTTAAAGGTCATCTGCAGCACTAGTCCCTTGTTCTGGGAGCCCAAATTCTGCACCTGTGCTTCTACAGTGGGGGTCTCCAAGTGCTTACCATTTTCCCCTGGGCTGTCTGCTCCTTTCTGAGGGACTGAGCTCTGCCACTCTTCTTTCATGCAGCGCTTGTACGTCTTTCGTCTGGTTGGTGGTTGTTCTTGTCCATCTACGCCCTGTACCAGTGCATTTCTATCCCTCTTCCTCATATTCACAAGTCCTTTCCTAGACTCTGGACACTGTGCATGCAGTTCTAGCAAAACAGAACTACCTTTCTTTCTGGGACCGTATAGTTTTGGTTTCATCAATGATATCCCGCCTTTCTTGCTCAAGCATTTCTTTTCTTTCTCCTGCATCCCTAGTTGTCTTGATCCAACTAAAGGACACCCATTCAGCTTCGCTAGTATATCAATCTCTTCCTGATGTTTTGTTTCAGTCATGGCTTCCTGACCCCCCAAATTCTCCCTAAAACCAGGGATTTGCCTATTCTGCATCATCGAGTTAGTGCATTTCATTTCAGTACTCCATGTGACCTCTCTGAGTCGCAGCCCTTCTGGTTCCGGAAGACAGGAAACGCCATGTCTTTTTGCGCTCTCAATTTCCTCCTCTGAGGATGGAATTTGTGATTTTATATCCATACAACCGTATTTGCCGTCTTTTTCTGAACTCCTTGAATCCTCTTGGAAAACTGAGAGGTCCACGTGGTCTGACCAGTGTTCTTTCCTCTCAATCCCTTCTGAGAACTTATTCTGCAAAGTAGTTCCTGAGAAAAACAGCTGTTGACTTCGCCCTGTCCCTCTCTTTACAGTCTCTTCACAGCCTACTGCTGCACCCGTACCTGCTGCCTGTCGATCTTCACACTCGGCTGCGTCTGAAATTGGCGGAGCTACACCGCTGCCGCTTCTGGCACCCCTCCTGTGCTGTATCCCCCTGTTTTTTCTACCTGGGAATTCCTGGCCGTTCTCACCTTGCTCCTCCTGCACGGGCAAAAGAGGAGCAAACTGCCCAAAGGAAGCGCTGGCGAGCCTGGCAGCTTGCACGCAGGTAGGTAAGGGCTGCTCTGGTTTTCTCTTCCGCGCCAGGCGAAGACTCCGCTTCGTTACGAGCTTTCTCCCTGGCTCACACCCTGCACCCTGGCAGCCGGGGCCGGCGCCTTCCGAGCCAAACGGCCCCACCTCGCTGGCCGATACCATTTTCCCCGACCTCAACCGCGGCATCTCGGGGGCGCAAAGACACCAGCAGAACCCCAAAAACCCACTCGCAGGTGCACCCCAGTGAAAGCCCGGCACCCGCGGCGGGCACAGGCCCACCTCCTAGGGGAGCACAACCCCTCTCAGGCCTCACGGGTCACCCGAGGGGGCCCTGGCTGACAGAAGAGCCAGGCCGCTCAGGAAAAGCACACGGCCACAGGCGAGCCCCTCCCGACAGCACCCCCACCCCCAGCCCGCAACAACCCCTTACAGAGCAGGGCGGTGGAGGAAGAAGCCCCGCGCCTCCCCAGACTCAAGGCAGCCGCAGACCGCAGCCACCCGCGACACCCTCTCACCCTCTCCCCTCGTCCACCGATCCGTTTCTCGACGCCTCCTCCAAGCGCCGCCTGCCCGCCCGCAGGGCCGAGATGCCGCCGCGGCGGGTAATGGCAGTAGCGGCGTAAGGGCGAGGCGGCGGGGCGAGGCGCGGAGCCCTACAGAACCTGACAGAAGCCCCGTCCCCGCAGCGCTCGCCCTCCCGCCGACACAGCACTGCCGCCCTCACGCCTAACCCCCACCGCCGGGGCGGGGCTCGGCATGGGGGTGGCAAGAGCGGCTCCTCCGCACCGCGGGGATTTGGTGTCGGCAACGCTGGGCCGGGTGGTGGTGCTGTGGTTTGGGTACACCGCCGGAGTGCTGCTCCCGTGTTGCCCGAGCCCCCTGCGAAGCTGCCGGGCCCGGCCGCAGCCGTGGCTCATGGGGCGCCCAAGGTAACGGGATTCTGTGTGGAGCTGCCACACCGTGCAGTTCCAAACGCCCGGCTCGCCTCGAGGTGAGAGCCGCGTAGGAAAATACCCAGGCTTGCCCGTTCCTTCAGGTGTTCCGTCCACCTCAGTGAAGCAGCATTACCTGCCTCATGCACAACGCTTCAGGAGCCCTCCAACTCTCCAACACTGAGGGGTCATGCACTTGTTCCACGGAATCACAGAATGGGTCAGGTTGGAAGGGACCACAGTGGGTCATCTGGTCCAACCTCCCTGCTCAAGCAGCATTGTGTTCCTTAATATCTCCATTGGGATTGCTCTCTGGGCAATCTCTTTCAGTGCACTCGCACAGTAAAGAAATTCTTATTCATATTCAGGTGGAACTTCTGTGCATCAGTTTCTGCGAGTTGCTTCTTGTCCTATTGCTTGGCACCACTAAGAGCTTGGCTCCATCTTCTTGGCACCTCTTCTTTAGATACTTACAAACACCGATGAAGTGCCCTCTCTGAAGGCTGAAGAGGCGCAGCTCCCTCAGCCTTTCCCCCTAAGACGCGTGCTCCGGTCTCTTGATCATCTTTGTAGCCCTCTGCTGGACCTGCTTCAGAAACTCCGTGTGTCTCTTGTACTGAGGACACCAACTTTGTATTTAAAATAACACAGATTCTCAGGGCTAGTGCTACAGAAAATAGCACTCAAACAGATTATATAGTCAGAAAACAATAAAAGTCAATGTTTGGGCTATGAGTGGGGTGAAGGTTTCAACACAGGTGGAGAACACTAAAATTTCGGGACCATCCACCATGTGATAACATAAACATATAGAAGTTGTACAAAGATTCAATCTAAGCAGCAGGTGCTATGAAAATCACAAGTTATTAAACTTAATAAGGTGATACTCTAACGCCAACAATGCAATTGGAAAAATTGCACGTGGTTGGTAAATGACCGTGTCCTGCAAGCAGTCCCTTTCTGTTCACAGGTGGTCTCTGAGGGATCAAGTGCCTTATTCAAATTCATTTCGCTCTGGCTTAGTGCTTTCTGGTTCACATCTAATGCATCCTCATTTGAGACCTGTGCATGGAAGTAAGGTGCTCTGTGTCACAGCTTTCTGGAAGTGCAGTACAATGGATGTAAAACAGTAGTCGAAAGGGCATATTTTACTAATTGGCATTGGCTCACTCTGTGACTTCAGTCCACGTAACTTTATTTCTGCTTCTCCATCTAGAGGTAGAGATAATACATCTCAGTACAAATAAAGACAGAGAACACTGGATTTTTGGTAAAAGCTCTTCATAGGTGAAGAAAGAACAGACAGGCTGGGAAATTGTTAACTTTTGTTTGCTTACCATCTTGCATGTACATACTTAAGTACAACAAATAAGTCAGTGAGTGGTTAACTAAAGCTAATTAAAGCAGAAAATACAGATGTCTTAGTTTCTCCATTGGCTCTGTATCGTGCTTCTGGTCCTTGTGGCAGAAAGGACCCAATAATAGGGGCTTAACAGCATTTATCATTGTCAGTGTTCTGCAAGGCCAATATTACAAATGACATTCAGCTCTGACAAAACTTAACCATTTAACCTTCTCCAGTGTGTAACAGAATCTTTTAAGCTTGATAGCGAGATGAGGAAGAAAAAGATATGCTGAAAAGCAGTAGTAAAGAAAATCTGGAAGAATGGCATATAAATTATTTTACTGCTCTCCAGTATAATTTTTGAGAGTTTAATATTTATTCAGTTATTTACAATGATGAGAACTCTACTCAAACCAGATTTTCATAAAATGAATAAAAATTTACTTGAAATGAATACTAATTAAAGACATTCTTCATTAAAATCCTTTGGAAAAAGGGCTAGAGCTTCAGAAAGGACACTTTGAAGCAGCTGTGGATTATGTTAAAAAACAGATTGTATTCAGTTTACAATACGGCTAAAAAGAGGTAGTATAAACATTGTCTTGCAAAGTGGATCAATTTAACCATCTTTTAAAAATACTTGAAAGAAGAGAGATTTTTAATATGTAGACATTTAAAGAAATTCTGTGTCAAGTGTTTATTAAAACTCTAGGTTATTAAAGTGGAAATAACTTTAAAAAATAAACAGCTTAAGGAGGAAAAATGAGTTATTTTCACATTCCAACAACATTTGAATTAATAATACTACAAGGAAATGTTTAAACTTTATTTTTAAATTATATATTGTTTAGAAATAAAGATAAAAGCTTGTTTCTCTTGAGTTTTGTAGTCCTATATGTCAACATCTAAATGCCATATCTAGGTTTTAGAACTGATTCAACTTTTGCTAATCTGTTGCTTAGTTTTAGTGATTTCTTGTTCATCATAGACACTTAAAGACAGTAATAGAAAGATAAAGTACTGAGTGTCTGAAAATAAAAAGGGAATCCTAGTCCCTAAAACATTTTTTGCCCAGAATAACCAGTACACTCAGAGGTGCCTGGCAATTTCCAAGCAGGCAAAAGGAACTTGTCTGACTACATTTATATAAAGTCCATAAAATTATTATTTTTTTCTCAGAGGAGTGTGTGCACTTAACTCCTGAACCAATATAATTTACATTGCTACTGTGGAGAAACTGAGGCTGCAGATCCAGCAATGATACATTTGAGTAATCTTCCAGAAGTTTTCAAAAGATTGAAATTTATAAACATATAATCTAGCTACATAGATGAGCAAATCATATAATTTTTTTGTTGGGCTCTATTTTAGACTTTGCTAATATACTCACGTAGCAATAGGAATTAAGTTGTCTTTTTTAGCTAGGGAACTGGAAAGAATTAACTTGAAAATGAACTGGGCTTTTTTTTGTGAGGCAATGTGAAAAATGTCCCCCTGGACCACTTATTTTTATACTGCTTGCATCTTCATGCTTGACTGAGGGATAGATTTGTTATCTCTAGCAAACCTTAGTGAAAAGAGTTTGGCTGTGCTGTAATAACTGAGACTGAGCTCTGAAGAATATTCCTGATCTGTTACATTCTTATAACACACCAAATTAAGCTCTTAAGTGATACAACTAAATTGAAAAAGGAAAAAGTTTTAGTCTAGCGTATTTAAGAACCTATCTTTTTTTAACCTCAAGGATTTATTTATTGACAGTTCTGAGCTATTGGGTTTGCAAAGGTAGAATCCAAAGATAGTAAACATTGATATGATTTTTAAATAACTTCTTTATCCTCTGCTTTCCGTTCAAATACACGAGTGTTTTGGAAATAGGTGTATTGCTAATCTGTTAAAGTAAGAAGTGGGTTTTTTTCTCAAGCCATTCATGTATATCCTTCTAAAACTGCCTTGGGTTTTCACTCTGAGGACTTAAGGCAGGAGCCACCTTTGACGCGGCATCTAATGAGAATCGTGCAAACTACTCGTGTTGGGCTTGAGGTACAATGTGCATGTTTGATTCATGTTCTCGGTAGCTCACCTGTGTAGGTGTTGATCCAGTTTATACTGAGAGCTGTCTGCTTGTCTGCCCTGACATTATGAGCCCTGCTGGACAAGGGCCAGTACGGTGCTGAGAGCAGAGGTACCTCGGTGGAAATACGTGATCTGTTTTGTGAAACAGCTGAGTGATTATGCTGCATGGCATCATGATGATAGACTGGATTCACCTGAATCCAGTGAGTAGCTGGATATCTCAACCTTTGTTTTGGTGTCTGTTTTTATTATAGAGCTGTACAGGGCAGATTAAAGTAACTTCTTTTCCACCAGTTTAAAATGAGCCAGTGGAGGAAAAAGGACAGCTGCTGTATTTCGTAATGAACCATCTGGCATTTCTTGATAGATCCTCTGATTCCTAATTTACTACTGAATTGTGGCAGCAAGAAAATCAAAATTATTGATTGTATGGAATCAATTTCCACTGGCAATTGTTGTGCTCCTTCGGTTTCTGTCAAAGGATAGTCATAGGAGGGATAAGGACCTCTCACACTGAGCTTTACAAGGCTTGAAAGTCATTTATACCACTTGCCTTTTTTTTGGTAATCATGCTGCTTGACATTTATTCTGGAAGACTGACTTTCCACATAATCACATCTGACCTGAACCTTACAGAAAGTGGCACTAATCAGTTTTAAGGTTCCACAAGGCAGCTCCTGTGTAAGGTTTGTATTCTGTTTTGTTCCTTTTCATTCACGGCTCTTTTTAAAACTTCCACTGCTAGAAGTTTAAGAAATAAACTAACTAGCTTGCTGGAATTAGAGATTCAAAAAATACAAATGCAGGAGAGAGATGCAGTAGAGGATTAACTAGTCAAATAGAGGACTACGTTTTCAGTCTGAATTTATTTTAAAATTCTCTAAATAAAACATATGTTTGCTTTAACTAGATAATACATAACCATGTACCTACCACTAAATCTGCCTTTAGAATCAACTTTTTCTGGTGGCTGGATGAAAAAGATGTGGGACTTAGAGGAAAGCATCTGCACACCAGCAAGTATGTGACACCCCCATCCTCCTGCCAAAAAAGATTATGAAGTGTGATTTCTAGATCAGAAAGTTAAAGGGAAAAAGGAAATGAAAGTTGAGTTAATCAGAGCTAGAAAAGGCATGGAATTAGTAATTGTAGGGGTGCAGTAAGGTGTAGATAGAATGCGATAAACCAGTAGATAATCAATGAAAACATTGCTAGAAAACAGAATAATAAAATGGCTTCAGAAAATCACTCTTAAAAAAAGAAAGGAGTGGTGAAGACTAAACAGAGTAATAGGAAACTTTTCTGTGATTCAGACTGACTGAAGAAACAGTGGGGGATCATCTTCAGCAGTGCTCCTAGGTAAAGTAAAGAGAGCCTGAACTTTGAATGGTGACAGTGATCAATCGCAAACTGGAACCCAAATCTGAGTCCTAATTAATCTTGCTGTTGGGCATTGAACAATGACTGGCTCCTAGGTTCAATTTCTTGTGCTATGGTCATCCATTAAGGCCTTCCATCTCTCTCTGCTTAGTAGTGCCAGGGTGGCTGACAAGTATAGAGTCTCAGAATAACTTGCTGTGTCTTTTCTTCCTTGAATGATTCATCCATAAGCATCAGATCACATCCCTTAATATGTTATATAGTTTGTATATGTAGTTTTGAACCTGAGGAGTGTATTTACAGTTCCTCTGTGTTTTTTAGAGCTCCAGATCTCTAGGAAATATCTGTTGCTTACTTTTTTTTTTGAGACTGTGTTACTCTTTAGCAGTGAAAGTACCTTTTACAGTTGATGAAACGTAATTGTTTCAGTCATGCTGACTGTATCGCACAATGCACTGACTATAAAGCTTCCCCTAACCAAAGCAGCGCACAACCCTTTTAAAATGTTTGCTTTCTTTAACACTGAACATTTTCCCACCAGCATATCCAGGATAATCTGTGGGAATAGTTGCATGAAAGCTGACATTATTGGTTCATGTGTGCAACATCTTGCTGTGTAGGAAAGAGGAGACGAGAACAGAGATTTACTTACTTTTGCATTCATCTTCTTACTTTTTCATTTGTAATTAGTTTTGCTATTTGAAAACAGCAGAAAGTTATCTTCAGATAAACCAGGGACATACTAGGTGCTTTAGTGAGGGTTGGAGGTAAAATTCATTGGTGCTAAGCCAAAGCAAGGCATCCATTTAGCAGGGAGTTGCATTCAGCATACATTATTGGGTTAATATTGACATCACTTGCGTATCTTCATACTTTGATGGGCTGAGTGTCTGGGTCATAACCTCCAAGTGGTATCTTAGCTATTTGCATTCTGTGTATGAGAAGACAGGTTTATTTGAAATCTAAATACTCCCTGTCTGTATATCCTGCTGCTTAGCCAGCATTTGGGGACAGCTAATTTCTTTTTCATCTCTTCACCTAGATAAATATTTTTCTAATCAGCATGAGGATTGTTGATGTGTTTGTGTTGCCCCAGGTTCCATACTGTGTTAACTGCAAGAGTGTCCACTCTTCAGCTTGGCTGTCATTTGGTGGGTCAGACTGAGCACGTAAGTAATTATGGAAAGTGTTATTTCTGGAGTAATTTTCCCACAAACAACAACTCCGTGACTGAGGAGAGCTGATCAGAATGCAGAATGCCTCAGTACCTGTTGGTGTAGACAAATATGTAATTACTGAAGAAATTAGATGTTTCACTGTTAAAGGAGGAATTATTTGCTGGACTGCCCTTCAGCCTTGTCATTTTCTAGAACAATTCTTTTGACACCAAATAGGAAAACATCCTTTAATAATGTAACACCACAGCTCTGAAACCTCATTATAAGTCATGATTCTACTGTAGTTTTTTTGCATAATAACAAATAATAATAATATTAGTAGTATTACATTGGTAGAATTCTAAAGTGAGTAGTTATATTCCTGATCCCCAGGTCAGTCAGCGACAACAACTGAATGAGCCATCTCAAGAAGATGAGATGACATGGCGAAGACATGAAGACATGAACATGAACACTTGCTGAGCAGAGACTGTACATAGATGGTTTAAAGACTTTTATTCATTATGATAATTGAAACTGTACTTTCACTTCTTATTTGGCATGTTGCTCAACATGAGAATTGGTGTGCTCTGCATTAATCATATTGTGATGATCAGGCGAGAAGTGAGGTTATGTATTCACATAGCACAGGGTACAGAAATAAAGAGTAGGTCTTCTCTGATGTTACAGTATCTATGCAGAAGTACATTCCTTGCAGCTCAGGAGTCTCTTTCAAATGCTTACTCACCTGTAATAAGACTGGCCATAAGTGATAATTCTCAGTTAATAACAATGTTGTTGTCACTGTTCCACAGACAAGTCAGAACAGCAAGGCAGTCTGTTTCCTTTTTGGCTGCAGTGATTGTGTTGCATTCGCTTTTTGTGTGTCTGCATATGTATGTCATTCATTCCTTCCTGGCCTCTGAGTAGGCATTGGGCAATTTTGTCTAAATTTGACTGTGGTGGGACAGAGACCACAGAGCTATTAAGTTCCTGCATATTTCATGAAGATGGACATCCATATAAATGGGAAATCATCCATGGAAAGAAAGGTTCACCCTTTATTAAACATGAGAGAATCCACAGAAAAGAGACATGTCAGATATCTGGTCTTGTCCTACTGCTTACACAGCTTCTGATTATAAGATCTTGAACAGAGTTCCAGGCAGGACTGGGTGTCAGGGAACATCTTGCTTCGGAGAAGACCTGCTGGAGGGGAGAGAGCTTACACTTGCTGACAGAGCTTTATGACTAGAAGTGTCTAAATATTCCTGAGAGTTTCCTAAAGTCGAGGTACACAGGCTAGTAGTCGTAAAGCTGTATTAATCCCTAGGTGGAATAATATATTTCCATACGTGGTGCATCTGAATGATTTTTCAGGAGTGTTCCAACAAATGAGCCTCTTCCTTGGTCCATGTGAATTTACAGAAAAATCATTTATATATATAGTTAGTGCTGTGTAATGAAATTATAAATAAATGTAAACAATATATTTATTTACATTAAAAGTATATAAGTTGCTCTTGTATATATGCAAATAGTTATTTATCTTTGCACCTTGTGTTTGAGTTTCCTATTCTGTTTTGAACCTTGAAAACAGACAGGTAATAATTTGTATTCGTTTTGTATGCTCAACAGTCTGAAAAGAGACAAGTGAAATCAGTCAGTTGCCTTACGTGGGCTAAGAATGATGCCTTCAGGGATTCAAGGTGATTGGGGCTAGGCACATGCTGAACTGAAACCTTTTCCTCTGCCGCAGGATACACTTGATACCTTGTTTTTTCTCCACCATCCCATAACATTTACACATTTATGTTTGTCACATAAATCTGCATTGGGGTCTTCCTGAGGGCTGTTAGCTTTTTGTTCCTGGCCACTGAGGAAATTAAAAGTTATAACCAAAGACAAATAATTATTTCTAATCAGGAATCTGTTTGGATATTTTTAACTAACATCTTTCCTTTGGTGTGGTTACAGGCTTCTGTGAATAAAATATGTTCCCTTACTCTATAGGTGGTATCTGTTAAAACAGAAAGATAAACAAACACATTGCTGCCTCATTAAAAAAGTCAAGAACTATGTGCAGCATTTAATTTTGTTGCTGCTTTTTCGGAGACCTGTTTTCCGATACCCTCGTCCTCCTATTCTCTTTCCCCAAATAAATATTTTGTGTGGAGTGGGATAGGAAGGAGGTTATTATGAGGGGTTCAGAGGCTGCATTGAGTCCTTACATTCACTTTGGAATTTGTTGGTGCACTGGATGTACTGCGCTGCTGGGAGGCCACACATGGAGTTGAATAGAGCTCTGCAATGGATTTTCTTGGTATAGCTTAACTCCAGAGAACGAGCAATGAGTCCTGTACAAGTCACTGCCTGATCTCTTAGTAAAAAACCCTTGCACCCCAGTGGTACTCCTTTTGTCCCCAGCAGTCTTGAGCAGGGAATGCTAGGCAGAGACTGTCAGTTTTGGTTGGATTCAACTGGATGTTATTAGCAGGACAAAAACCAACCCAAGTGTTGCTTAAATATAAAAATTATGCAGGACCCTCTGGCACCTGTTTCTGGCAGGCACAGCCATCCAGTACTGGGCTGGGGGCTTGCTAGGAAGCTCTGCTCTCACTTCTGCAGAGCACTGGCCTCGGGCTTTGAAGCCTTAGGTGATGTTTTATCCAACCCTTTGCTTTGAATGGGTGATGTAAGGATTGGAAGATGGCCTGAAAGCTGTTGGAAATCAATGGCCAGGTAACCATTTCCCTGACATCTATGTCTTTTATGTGTGAGTGGATGCTAACGGCATACCCCAGTGTGAATGAGAACAACAAATTCCTCCATGCCAGAACCAGTATGCTGGAACACTCACCTCGGATTTTGTATCTGTTGTTCTCTTTCAGGGTGACAGCAAACTTTGCTGACCAGCATGTGTTGGCTCCATGAGCTGGAGTTTGTGCTCTGCCATCACAGTCAGACTTCACACATGTACAAGCCCCTGCATTTTGGGAGAAGGAAAAGAAACAGGAGAAGCAGGAGACTGTGGAAAGAGAAATCCTGGCATGCTCTGTGAGGAGACTGCCATTTCTGTTCCTTCTGCTTGCTGTTCCACCGTGCATGAAAGCTTCAAGCTATATAATATGAATTAGTACATAGCCTATAAAAAGGCTATAGTATATAGTCTGTTTTTGCCATAAGAACCAAACTAAACCAACACGCCTCATTAGTCAAGTGGAGATTGAGAGGTACTGTTCTGAGAAGGAATTATATACGCTGCAATAGTATTCACTAGGACGCACAACCTAAACATTTTTATTATCCCCTCCCAGGTAACTTCTCATATCATCCTTTCGGGAAGACTCACCATTTTAATTGCAGGCGTTTGGGTCAGGGACCATTATTTTCAGTGACTTTGGTTCCCAGAGTGAGACATCAGCTGATGGAGCCTGGAAGTTGCCACTGTGCCCTGTACACGTGAGATAACAGCAGTAACATTTGCAGGGGCAACTAAACAAAGAATTTTATCATACATGGCCTTTAAATATTGACTAATTGATTTAGCGCTTGAAAAATATTTGGGGCTTGTGGATTTGTCTACTTAAACTGTAAATAGCTGCTGCTAGCAGTCTCCAGCTGGATTCAGGAACACTGCTGGTCTCAGTGACCTTCCCTCCTGTTCATTTTTTGTTGCTAAAAGTAGTTGGAAAAAAGAATTAATCAGGACTGTCATTCAGAATATTCAAATTATAGTAATCCCTCTGTTCAAATGTATCTTTTGTGAAATAAAACCATTTTTATGAGAAGGAAACTAAATTATGTTGAGTTAAAATGCCAGAGGTTGTTACAGCTGGGTATTTATATAGATTCATATGCTCAATTTTCCTTGCTATTTTATGAAATTCTCATGATAGGAATTGTTTTTCCAGAATCATAAAATGTTTTAGGAGAAATATAGGTTGTGGATTTTTCGGGAATGAATGGCTGCCTTGCTTGCAAATTCCATCGTGAAGCAAATGACACGTCAGTGTAGTGAATTTGCAAAGCTGTAGCCAGATAGTGATGAAAACATAGTAATACTTTGATACACTGATAAACAGGAAGCACTTCTCTGAAAAACATAATGGATGACCCTTTCTTGATTGTTAATCTATGGTGATATTCTTAGGGAATAGAAAGTTAGTTCTTGCTGAAAGTCTGAACACACAAGCAGACTTGTCTGTACAATAGGAGTGGAAGAGTTTCTTTAAGAAACTAGATGAATTGGCTCTCCAATTGGCTCTCCTAAGTGCGTCTGGTCTCTAACTGTGATATATTCTGTCATCTTTAATCACTTTACAGCATGTATAACTGGTTGGCTGATACCAAATAATGCCTACCACTCCACTGGGAATTCCTGGGCGTTTTTGCTGTATCTTTTACTCAGTGTAAAGTTTATACCTTAAGATAATATAATGTAGTTCAACTCACTCTAAGATATATCATACTAAGGGATCCTTAGTTTTCAAAGGTTGTGTTTTCCTTTTGAAGGAGATCCAAGAATTTAGGTTTTGCCAAAAATGCCTCACCCCAAACCCATGAAACCTTCACTGAATAGAGTATTTCTTTCTGTAAGCAACAAGTTTGGACATTTTTCAGTAATGTCTTTCTGGTCCTGCCTGTGCCACATAATGGAATGGGGTGAGAAGATCCCAGAGGAAGGACAAATGGAGGTATTTCCTGCAGCAGCAGCAGTATAGTTGTCTCAGTGTGTTGCCCTAACCAGAAGGGCCTAACCAGCCCTTCTGAGGTTGCAGAAATTGTGTCCTGGAGTACTCTTTCAGGGTAGAATCTTTCTGATTTCCACCAAAGGTTCAGACCCCTCCAATGGATGTTTTTCTGAGCAAAAAAAAAAAATCTGAGAGAAAAATAAAAAAAAAGCCTGCCAAAATTTTCCAGCTGGCTCTTGTTGTTAATGTGGGGAGGGTGCATGGTGTTTTTCATAGCTAATAAAGATGTAGATGTGCTACTTTATAATGAAGCTTAGTTTTGACTGTGGAAATGTGACTAATTCTTCCACAGATTTAACACTGACACAACAACACAGCTAGTGCTATTCTCACTAGCTTAGATCTCTCACCTAGCAGCACCTTCTGCTAAATTAATCCTTGCCTTTTCTGTCTTACTTTTGGATGTCTGAAACTAGTCTCCTTGGAAGGGTTGAACGCCGAAAAACATTGCTCAGTGCAAGGGGCCCTGCCTCAGGTTCCTGGCTTCATTTTAGCATCATTGACCTGTACCAATCTCTTGAAAATGTCTGCCCATGAAGTTAACCCGTGGACACAAGAGACCACTGTGTTGAAATGACTTCTTGAATAGGACCTTAAAATGCAAACTTTCTGTGTGCTGTATTGTGCTTTATGCCAAGTCCTCCAAGCTGCCAATTGCTCAGTTAGCAGTCTGATTAGCTTGTGGTGGTTAATCATGTCATCTTTGCTGAAAAAAAGGGCATAAAAGCAGAGGGCTGGAAATTTTCTGGGTGTCATGTGTTTAGGAGGACAGGTGGTGACAAACGCTGGTGCTGGAAAGATATATCCAAAGTGTGTGTGTTCCCAGCAGATGGTGCTGCGCTGGTGGCCATGAGCGAGGGATGTGTCCAGGACTGACAGCTCCTCATCCAGGTACCAGCCCTTCTGCAGCACTCTGTGAGATGCAACATTTATTGAGGGAAGGGGATCCCGAGGACACTGGAAATTGCCATCATGCAATGTGGAAGGAGCCTGTTTACACATGTGCATAGGTGCTGCACAGTCTGAATTTCCCCTTATGGTGTTTTGTTGTATTTGTGTTAATCTTTTAGTTAATTTGCACTATGAGTTTTGTATTGTATTCCCTCAAGGTTTGCATAATTTGTATAAATATACAGCATACTTCTGGGGCTAGAAAGGATGTGCACTCTCATTTCGTTAGTCCTCTTAGATGAGCCAGGGCAGTGCTCCTATTTCATTCTTGATTAAAGAATTATAAAGCCTTATGGTAAAGAAAGAAAAAAAAATCTTCAGCTCACTTCATACTCTGCCATTTTGGAGTGATTTGTGGATGTGAAAAGCACTTAGCAGTAAAGTAAGCAAAACTGCAGTTTTCATATTTGTTTTATAAAAATCACATACGAGCACTGTACTCAGAAATCAACACTAAAATTGTGAGTTTTCATTAAGCTCTGGCTTGTGTTTCTCGAACAGGAAGACAATGGCAACAGCCAGAAATTATTTTGATGTCCTCCTACAATATGACCAGTTGCCTGTGACCCATGTGGTGCCTAATAGGGGGCCAAGGTTCCTGTGCAGTGGGGAAGGGACCCCATGGCTGATAAGACCAGCCCTAGAAATAGTAACTTTTTAATATTAAATTCTTCTCACAGAATTTGTCAATAGTCTGAGCAGACAGACTTTTTAGGGCAGCTTTCATATCACTGGCGTCTTTTATG